AAAAAATGAAGAAAAAATATTCTCTTCTTCTCTCATTAGATGTCGAAATGGAAAGGGATAAACTAAACCTAAACAAACTGACGTAAGACAAAAGAAGAGGCGTATGACATGAAAACCCTCTCTAATAATTAGAATGATACATTTAATAATAATTATACACAGAGAAGTTCATTTTATAATGATAGTGTCTTCCGCCCCAAACCCAAGCTTGAACTCTCGACTTGAGGCATATCTCTCTCTCTCTCTCTCTTTCCAATAGTGCAGATAGAGCGCCTAACAACAATCGGCCATTCTAGGCAAGTCAAAAAACTTGCTTTTGATGCCGATGAGATTCTTGCGGTGCTACGCTACACTATACGGTCATTGACAATGCAAGTGAGATACAATTTTTTGGACATTAATTTTATTAAGGGATATTTACCGATACACATTGCAATGAAATTAACACTATTTTAAAGCACAATTAATTTACAATGGCTCTTCTACTAACAGAGCTGCCCTGAGTGAAGAAAATTGATACAGCACAGAAAAATTCATTTTATTAGAATAAAACTCCCTTCCATGCCCGAGGTTTAATTCATGACCTGTGGAATCCCTCTTCTAAATTTATATAAGCAGAGCAGGTACAGCGAGCTAGAGGACTCGATTTGCCATCTATGCGAGTCAAAAACTGCACTGTACAGTCATTGAGGATGCAAGTGAAATAATGCTTTTGGACATTACCGGGGTAGTTTCATTAAAGGATCGTTATATATATATATATATATATATATATATATATATATATATATATATATATATATATATATATAGACCATGGAACGTGCTACTATCCCAATCCCACACGCACGCTGCACGTACGGTATACACGGTTTGGTCGAAACGCGTCACGGTTTACACGAAACGCTACAGGGTATATGTATGTACGAATTGCTACATGGTCTACACGACACATCGCACGAAACGTAGCACGGATTGTGCGATAACCTTGGTATAGGTAACTCACACGCTTTCTACAAGACTCTCGTAAGCTTTTGCCTCGATCTACATTTTTCCAATCTGAATCTCTAGGACATTTTTTTCAGATTATTACGAACTGGTCATAGATTAATAAAGAAAAGAAGCCTTTCGTGATATGCTACACCAGTACGGCATGTATATAAACCGAAAAAAATATTCAATGCTGAGTTGTAATTAATATTGATTAAATTGTGTTTGATTTCTGTAAACAGATTGTTTTTCTTGTTTTTGATTTATTAAAAACTCGGCTAGACAGGATCGAGGTTTTATGTAATTAATAGTCGATGCTCTAACCTACACATACAATGTACATGTACACATGTTCAGATACTGAAAACTCAAATATCCTAAAGACTAGAAATTCAAACTGCGTGATTAATAAAACAACTAATATATGAATATTGTTTTTATTTATTACTATAATTTGTTAGTTGATATTCAAGAATAGACAGGCAAATCAATTCACTGTCTATAAAACTTCGGACTGATTAAAAATAAAATCCCCGAGTAAATATAATTATTTCTACCTATTAAATACTAATTAATGCATTTACGAGTAATTTTGCAAATAATAAGATGTCAGTTAAGCCATGATTGATACATGTAGGAGACAAGAGTAGTTTCAGTTCCCGGAATAGGGAGTCCATGATCGCTGTTGTTCACACGAATGACCTTGATCGCAATCGTAAGAAGAGAGTTGAAGGTGTAAACTAAGATTCCAGTATATTTTTATGGGGTGCATCTGGCGCATCCTTAAACAAAGAAAGTAATCTTTTAAAATAAAAAATTAAGCACTTTCTTAACTACAAAATTTGAAAGTATGTGTTTTCCTTTTTTTCATTTAAACACCACCACCCAGTCAAGGAGGTATCTAGCTCTGTGTTCGTCAATGCATGTGAATTATACGAGGGGTTTTCAAAAAGTTCTTGGACTAGGGTCATAAAATTAAAACCACTTAAGATACATCAATGAATTTCTAAACATTAAATAAGTATCTTCTTTTCTGTCTGTATTTTTTAGTGAATCGCAAATGTTTTTTGTACGCAATGCTATGTCCAGGCGGCGCACCCTCGAACAAGACGTATTTTCTACCTGAGTGTAACTGAGAAAAACTCTTCCTATATGAGCATTTGTCATTCGAAAATCCCATTAAGTCACTCATGTGATATGACACATATTATCCGTAAAAGTTGTAATTTTTATCATTCTGTATATTCTGTGTAATTTTATAGTAAATTTTATATGCAATGTCCAAACAATAAAGGGGTTAAAAATGACCTCGAATGGGGGTAGGTTGTCATTTTACAACATTCTTTAAAGTTTCAGCCCCTGAAAAACCTGGCATAGACCTAGAAAATGTTTAAATAGGCTACAGAGAAATAAAATACATGCAGAGTACTTGTTTTTAAATACCAAAAACGATTCAGCAAGAAAAGAGACACACGGTTAATGTATATTTGTTGTCAGGGTGTCCAAAGTCAGTTAGGTCGAAAAGTGACGTTGATTATTGGTTGACATTGAACTCCGACAAGAAAATTATGCTGGCAAAACCAAGCGAGGATCTTGTCCTTTGTATAGATTTAATATTTACAATATTAATGCATTGAAATAAGGTGTTCATGACATTGTAAAGTCATATAAACAAGAGGGGCTTAGGTCTTTACTTTAATCCAGAGAATCTCATCAAGATAAGTATATTGAGGCAGAGAGAACAGGCATTGAGAATAATGACGTTGTCGGACGTCATAAAACTAAACGGCGACAGCGCCGGGTGATCATATAATGCCCTTTTTATTTAATGATAATTTGGCAAATTATCAACATATCAAGCTGAAATTTTGAACACTCCTTAAACTTTTGTTGTTTTATGTTCCCTATAAATTTTGTAATCAACGACTACATAGTATTAATTTTATCGCATCAGTCCACGAACTTTTTGATAATCCCTCGTAACTCATATAATTGACAATGTTATCAATCAACCAATTATATGTATTAAAAGACTTTCAATGAAATATCGTTTCAAAATTATATATCACAATATGTATATGGTAATAAATGGTTTAGGACAAAAGAGGGGTCATGATGGATTTTGGTTTGAAAATTTTAGTTTCAGTATTGCTTTCTCTGAAAAAATATTTTAAAAGCTGGGCTTGCATCGCTTACATGTATATAATATATTGAACTCAATGCATTAAAATTATAATTGATTAAATAATTTATTTTGTTGTTTTCGTATTTTGTTTATTCTCACTCTTGAAATAACACCAGTATGATATATTCGAATAATGTTAGTTACAAACAACACTGTTTGGCATCTTGACCCATCGACACCCATATTCTCAATACCATGACTTCCGAATGAATCCTCCACGTTTCTCGAACGATTCTTGCACGAAAGTTGCGCGTTTCTCACACGCTTCTCGCACGCTCGCGACACGCTTTGCACGAAAATCTTTGAAGCTTACACCAAACACTGAACGATTTACACCAAACGCAACACGTTTGCTAGTTCTAAACGGTGCACGGTTTACAAGATACGCTATACTTGTTTTGCACGAAACAAAAATCTTTCAAATGGCACACATTTTTCTTTTATGCCAACCAATGTACTTCTACATTATAAACAGTCAGTGTCCGAGCTTAACTTGTGTAAAATAGACATAAGATCCATATTGTGTGAAAAGGTCATTTATTCACAAAAGTGCATTTACTCAAATGATTTCATAGAATTGTTTGTCTATCTTACAATTGCAAAAATGAAAAAATATATTAGTTTTTAAGGAGGATCTAACTATATATTTTATTTTAAAATGCACTTACTATATTTGTTAAACAATGTTCATAGGCATTTTTGTATTTCAAAGAAAAAAAGAACAATTTAAGCCTAAAATCACTGTTCTAAAAGAAACTAAATGTTTGATGGAAAAATCCATAATGCTCTCCCTAATATGTCTTCCTGTATCTTCATCTAAAAAACTGAAAACTTTTTGTCTACTCTAGTTTTAAGATTAAAAATCAAAACTGGAAAAAATGAATTCACATTTTTTTTTTGAAAATTATTGATGAAATCTTAGGGAAGCAGCAATCGTTTTTTAAATTCAAAAAGGGGGATTTCATTTGTAGGATAGCTTTATAACTGTATTCATTGTCCATTCCTTTCCTTAAATCTGAATTGTGTTTAACGTATGAAGAGCATACTTTTTTATTTATATGAAAAAGTCAAGGAGTATATGGGGGGGGGATAACATATGGTAACAGGGTACAATATGTGGCTGCCTTTGGAATCTTTCTTCTTTTTATAATATTTAGTCAAATGTACCGATGCACTGCTATGATAATCAATTAAATACAGATGTGGGATCATGAGCTCATACACATATTCAAATGGAATGGGATTTTCAAGGTCTTTACACCAGTTTATACGACAAAAAGAATACTTAGTAGTTAGCATATATTGAGGGCAAAATAATGCATTCCTTGTTTTGTTCGCCGACTGTGTACTTAATGTTAAATGTACCTGTCTTACTTAAGGTATACTGAGAGATGCTAATAATTAAAGAAATCTAAAACGCAATTGCAAAATTTTAATACAAAAATATATTCAGCAAATAACGTATACATAAAGTAAATATGTATATAAGACAAAAATTTAAGTATGAATAGCCAAGAGGTAGTGCAAAACAAAAAAAACAAAATTATTGTACACTAGTATATATATCTGAATTACTGCAAAGATAAAACCCTTTTTACTGTCTTTGGTGGTAACTGTATTGCCTTTCAGTTTAGACTTACTGAAGGGAGTCAGAAATCCAAATGATAACCTCTGAATCAACATAAACTGTTATGCAGTTGATAAAAGGAAAAGATGAATCGATTGTAAAATCAACTGTAAATTAGAAAAGCTGAAAACATAATAACAATTGTTGAGAGAACTTTGGTATGTACAGAAGCAGAACCTCCGGTGCCATCATCTGTAAAGAAAACAATAATATGGACAAAAACATCAGATACATGTATTCATTGATTAAAATACAATTCCATCACAATTTCAGATTTTTTTCATATTTGGATGCTTCACTGACTTTTGACAATGAAGGACAACTTGCAAATAAATTGTATGATTGATTGATTGATAATATGTTGTTTTACGTCCCATTCGAGAATTTTTCACTTTTCACTTTTTTACCTATTTTTTATCGACTTAGGTCAGTCGCGGCCGAGATTCGAACTCACGACCTTTCAGATCAAGGAGCGAGCGCTCTACCGACTGAGCTACCGTGACGGTAATAAATTGTATGACAGAGGAGATGACTTCACCTTTTCCATCGTCAACTTTCCGTCTTTATTTAGTAATATCCATCTATTACCTGTACACTGTATATAGTGTTAATGTCTTCCAAATTATTCGATACTCAAGAGCATTTTCTGAGTACGATCAATATTTAAACTGACCCAGGCTACTGAAGATATTTTGATGTTACAGGGTTTTCAATACCCTCGTTTAAAGTCAATTTATTGTAAATACTATAGTAGTTATAATGACATTGTTGGCAAATATAACCTATGATTGGGTCGTATTTTGATTGACATATTTCATAGCAATTGTCAGGGGCCTTTTTTTTTAAATACTGAATTTGACGACGGAATGTTCCGTCTACCTGATCAATACATAGGACTCATGACAGGTTTGAGCGGTCAACAGGGGTTGTATTCTCCTCCTAGACATCTGATCCAATCTCTGGGATTTCTGAGGTCCGCTTTTTAAGCCCTGTATACAGCTTTGAGATCGATTGGTGTTCGTTATCTTCACCCTTTTCATTCTTCTTAATCGCAAATATACAATTTATTCGGTTGAGCATTTTCTTAAAAATTAATAATACCAACAATTTTTTTATTAAAATAAAATCTAAACGGAAGATGTTGAGAAAAATATTTTTAAAAGAGAGTATTTTAGCAAGTATCTTAAGTTGTTACGAAATAAAATTATTATGTATTTCTGGCAAAATTTTGATAAATTCATAATCTGAGCAATATCTGCATAGATTGTATGTTTTACATACTATAGTTACTAAAAATAAAAAAAAAAAATAGATAAAAAAAAACAAATGGAAAAATTCGGATATGTTTTGGAACTGACAAGATTTATTTAATTTATTGTATGATGTGTAGAAGGTATATTTATGAAATTTTATCAGACTAAAAAATAAGTCTTATCTACATTTACATATACTATTAATCTCTATTACTCCGATAGCAAAAGCGTACATGCCTGCTGATAAGATGTCTAGTTATAAAACAACCACTCTAGAGCATTGCATAATTTATTATCCCCTTAAAATTTAGGCTTTAAGTGGAAAAGTCGAAACCATACTTATAATTCCATTAAAAATAATTAAAGCTAATCAAAATGTAAAGTAATCTGTAACTCTTTCAGACATATAAGATACATGTGTATACATGTAAAACACTCTATTATATAAAATATTTTCTCAACTTGAAATCACTGGTAGAGGACTAAAAGTGAGGTCAAAAGAGGTACTTACCAATAGTTGTTATGGTTGTTGCTTCTGCAAAAGATACAAGATTAGGGATAAAATAAATGAACATCGAAATGAAAGGATGAATTATAAGAAGTAGAAAATTTAGTACATAACATAGATATCCAACTGATATTATTTTTCATTTAACATTTTACTATCATGGGGAATATTTTGATACAATTTTTAATTTATCGTTTTATTAATACTAATTATTTTGATTAATGTCCGCTTGACACTCAAGTTTACAGTCTATAATATTCATGTAGCTCGTACACAAGGTTCTCCATCATTTCAAATTTAATGTGACGCAAGACTTACGCGAAGTGCTAATATCTGCGGTCGTTTCGCGACTGAATTTGCGAGTATATATTTATATTCAATTATTATTTTCAATTGACTAAGGTATCTTAAAACTTGTGAATTATGAAAAAATGAAAATAACTTAAGCAGTTTAGAGTCATAAAATACTTGATGATGGATCTTTTTTTCGACATTTTATGATAACGATACGCGTACGATGTTTGACCCACAATACCAATGCAATTTAAATACATGAATATATACAGAAAAGCTAGGTAAGTCATTAATTTTTATCAAAAAATTTCATTTGCAGTTACTGGGAAGTGTGAAAAAAAAATAGCTTGTCTCTTTTCATTCATCATGTTCATGTATAAAGTCCAGCGAGATTTAGAACTTCAAGATAATTGAAAATTGATAGTGCAAGCCAAGCAGTGGGTCCTATAATTACAGTTTAGCATAAGAAAATGAAAACTGTACACAATTTGGAGGTTCATTTTAAAATCACTTACCCTCCATATCGATGACGATCTTACTGTGGCGCTAATATTTTACTGTGGCGGAACTTTGGCGCTGATTTTTTTTAAACCGTGGCGCTAAGGAATTTTACTACGGTGTTTGCAAGAAAATATCTATGCATGATAAACATTTTAAACCGATGTAAGAACAAAAGCTAGTGAAAATGTATAGATGACTGAAATTGCATGCGCATTTAAGTATATTGGTGAATAATAACATGTACTTATTACAGATCAAAAAACATTAAAAGGGAAAATGATGAATGATTACCTGTTGTCGTGATAGAAGGGTCTGTAATAAGGAAAACAAACTTTGAAACATATGAGAGGTATAATATCGAAAAAGACCTAATTTTTGATATATTATAGATTATGCAATGTTTGATAAACACTTCATTCTAAAATGCTGCTATTTACATAAAAAACAAAAACCTTATTAACATCTTGCTAGAAATTCCACCTAAACGACTTTAAGATGTTAACAAATATTTTAATAAATATTTATTCTATTCAGCTTAATTTCTTACTTACCTATGACTGTTATATTGTGAGAAAAAGTTGTCTTCCCCCCTTTAGTGTTATGGATTACTTTACAAAAGTATGTACCACCATCATTGATTGTTAAGTCTAATGGAAGAGAAAAGGAGAGGATAAGTCAGCTATATGGAAAGACGGTACAGTTTTTCTAAAAACTTATTTTTTCAATGTAATATAATGTGAAACTGGATCCATCGAGAGAGAGAGAGAGAGAGAGAGAGAGAGAGAGAGAGAGAGAGAGAGAGAGAGAATAAATGATTTCATATTATTTATTTGTTAAAGTGAAAAAATAAATATGACTGTACTAGAAATCAAGAAAGAAATTGAATATGAAATCAGGGTAAAGCAAATACCTGGAATTGTAAGGTCATAGTAAGTCGTATTATGTACTATAGTTACATTACAGGTATAGTTTCTATTTATCAATACTTTCTGGCCGTTGTAACAATAGTCAGATCCCCTAACATTCCAGTACGTGTCCACGTTTGCAATACTGTCATCAGGTGGTAATTCGACAAAACATGTTTCGAAATAAGTCTGACCAATCGTATAGCGTCTATGGTGATTTGTTCCGATGCCGGCACTGAATTGGCACCTCACATCTGAAAGCAAAACAAAATCAGCCATTTTCGGACAATAGCACAATATTCAGACGGATGGGTATATATATATATATATATATATATATATATATATATATATATATATATATATATATATATATATATATATATATATATATATATATATGTGTGTGTGTGTGTGTGTGTGTGTGTGTGTGTGTGTGTGTGTGTGTGTTTATATATTAATGCAAAATAACAAGTATTTACTGACAAAACGTCAGAGATACTCAAGCTGTAGAAAGTCAGCTAAGAAGTGTCATAAATATCCTAAAATGACATAAGATGTAGGCTATTGAGTTTCAACATCCTCCATTGAATGAAATACATATGCTAGGAAACAAAATGCATGTACATATAAAAATAGTTTTAATTTTTTTAAATTTAAAATTCTTAAAGAACTTAGAATTGATATAATTAATGGTACTGCTTTTAAAAATGAATTGTATTCAATACATCATTCTTTTATGAAGCATAGTGGCGATAGTTTATTGATTGAAACATTTGTCCATATAAATCTATTTGATACTACATGCATTTTAGGACATCGCAAAATTTGATATACAAATTCATGTATATTGTTATTTTTCAAGGTGGAGAGGGGGACCTTCGAAAATATCCTGCGTACTAATTAAAGGCCTGTGCTACATCTTTCCAATGATAGAATCATCCGTACAAATCCTAAACAAGTCCCAGTCATTATGGGTATCGACGATAGCCCATATTTTTTAAATAACAAAACTATAGACCTATCAGGGTAGCATTAACATTAATTTTGTGCACTTAAAGTCGGCAAATCATGGAAGAAAATGTTAATGATGAGTTAACCTTGTCACCTTTCAGAGTAACCAATGAACTCGTCCATGGATGCATTGACGGCCGATGTAAAACTTACATGAGATTTCTACGCAAAAGAAAGCGCGAAAATTTCTGTATAGAAACTGTTGCGACTGCGGAGCTTTACTCATTATTCCTTCGTCTAGAATAGAATCCGAAATTAAACACTAAATATCTTTGAATATACAGACATTTTCAAGATAAGTTTCATTTTTGTTTCTAGAAATGTTTTCATTTACAAAAATAATATATTTTCGTGTTTTTAAACTGAGTAAATCGTAAACTGATGACCTAGCATCAAGCCCCTCTAGGGCTTGAATAAAAACCAACAACACTGTATATCTTTTGTGTCGGTAAATAGATTCAAGATCACGGATGGAAATTTATATATAGCACTCAAAATGACCAATGACACGAACAATAAAAAAATGACAAATTTTCGGGTCGCACTGTCCAATTTCAGAAGATAGAAGAGGTTAAAATGTCAAAAAACAAAGGAGGTCAATTAAACCAAACATCTAGCACAACAGCTACGCTACTAAACTCCGGTCAATCCGCTGTCACTCTGGTTTCCTTTGCTGATGTGTGATTTAATTACCTACGCCATCGGATTAATTAGCGCTAAATACACGTAATTACTACGAAGAAGTAAATCGTACAGCTTTGTATTCTCTCCAACATAGTGCTACTAAATAGTAATATAGATACAGTAATGAACCAAATAAATAACTTTCTATTATTTTTTTTTCTCTCTGTACACAACATTCTAGTGTGTAGCATTTATACCGAATGTCCAAGGGAACCAAATTGCATTACAATTATGAAAAGATAATATTTGCATATTATCAGGAGAACAATTAAGGATAAATAACACAAACTTTTTTTTCAGAAATCAGCAATAATCTCATAGATTTATATGCAAGTAGGTAAGCTGAATAATATTTACCAGGTAAAGTGGGAGAACCTTGTAAGATTTTGTCGCAATGATAAAAATATGCAAAATTTTATATAGAATTATATAGAAAACAAAGTCGCACATTTAAGCAAGAAAGAAAACTTAGATTTCTTTATATTTTAGGGATTTATTACTTGTGTAATTTCTACGCAGGTAGGTTAAGGCTTCCCGAAGAAATATCACAGTGCACTCTGTGCCTTCACATCTCTGAACTACCAAAATATGACGTCATAATGGAAAATGACGTCAAGTCACTGCAAACTTGAGGTGTTATGACGGGGAGAGTTTCATGAACTTTACACTTTATTTCAAACTGCATGTAAAATGCTAGATAGCTATTGCAAAATTCACGGGTCATTAACGGTTTTTTAAGTCTTATATGTCCGATTATTTTAAAAATACCCTTGATCGAAATTCCGCATGTTCAAAATGCTTATGAAAAATATACTTTTGAAATGTACTCTGTTTCGTACCCGTGCTTGGAGGTAGAATTATTTTGTGTGTATAAAAGAGTCTGGCGCAGGTGAATAATGAGGATTAATCTGAGAATTTTTGTAGAAATCTGTAAGAAGAGGTTGTTCTCTAACTGAATCTTGCTTGGGAAAAATGTGTGTTGGCTTTGTTTTAATACAGATTACGATATTGTGTGGAAAATACCCTCAAATTTGTAGGTAAGTTGATTTCTCACCAAATATTTTGTACACAAGTAATACTATGACTTTTTCCAAGCACATTTCGGATACACAAGGATACGATGAGTTTATTTATATAACAAAATGTTAATAATTATCGTGTTAATCAGCTGCGCCGAAGCGATTTATATGAAACACTTCAAAAAATTATAAATAACCGTCACGTGATCAACAAAGTCATGTGATATCATAACAAATATGTTAATATAAAGCCAAGGAAACTCTCTATATAAATTGGAAGTACTAAAGTTCAATACTTATAAAGTAAAAGCAAAACCGACCTCGCCATGACATATTATGTTTTGAGCACATTCTAAAGCTTCGGGAAGCCTTAACATAGCTGCGAATTCAAAATTAGTCAAAAAATGTATATGAATCCAGGCATCAAATTTTTGTTTGTGTTATGTACCATTAAGCAACAGTTCGCATCCTTTTATTGCCTTGTTTACATTACATGCTGATTTGGGGTTACCTTTAAGTACATTGACCCAGTTTGGGGTCTATGGAACGCCACAGCTGTCTTAAGGGTACAAAATATGCATCATAGTGTCAATTATACATAAAATTAAGTCTATCCTTTATATCACTAAGTCCACTTTATATAATATGTACATGTACTACAGAATTTTTATCATTAAGTGGGGGCGGGAGAAATAGAGACAGAAGCGGGACTTGTAACACGTGAATTTGCAGAATCAAAAGCATGTAAATTTAATATAATTTAAGGAATTTGGTTTCAAGACGATGATCATGATTTTTTTTTCACCTCGCCTATCGATGAACCAGTATATTTATGTAGAAATAAAGTATTTTTACTATTTGAAATTTTATCTCGGACAAAGACATTGGAAATGTAAATATATCGTAATAAAATAGATGTACTCTGTAGATCGCTTTAACTGACACATGAAAAAGAATTCCCGTAGCACACAGGCAAAAACTACAAACATATAACATTTATTTAACAATTTGTCAAAACAACTGTCGAAAGCCACACGTGCAAAAATTTGACGCCTTTAATTACAAGTATAAACTGGAGGCGAAACCACTCAGAACAAAAATGTAATCGGCGCGAATCCACCCGTTACCATAGCAATCAACGATCTTTATTATCGATAATCATGCCAAGGAAGTGTAACAAAAATACAATTAAAAATAAAATTCAATGCAATTTTTTGTATTAATTGTCTTTTATATCTTATAAGAATTAAATAAAATTTTGGGAAATCTTTTTTAATAAGTACGATAAATCATTTGGGGGGGGGGGGGGGGGGATTATGTACTGACACTCAAAAGAAACGCAGCAATCAGTAATCTGCAAATATCTGATTTTTTATCTAATAATTTTCAAAAAAGAATAATGTAAAGGTTTAACTTGATTTAAAAACATCAGAGATTTGATAAAAATGTTGAATGTTATCTTTTAACTTTAGAAAGTAACACATAACTGATTAAACACCCAAACCCCTCCCCCTCCCCGGCCATTCAATTACAGCGAGCAATCTGCCATGCATGCACAACATTTGTAACTCGTCATAGAGAGGGTTTCTATAGGCTATTCCTGATGCCCAATCCATTTATGTTTCAGTACATAAGAAAATAGGTTAAAATCAAATCAACATTTGTAACTCGATTTCTACGATGCATTAGGTTCACCAATCTCTTGATCTGAGCGAAAGAAATATTCTTAGACATTTTTAGTGCCTGTTTTTCAGATGCTTTGATCGAATTTTCTCGAACCCAGCGTAGTGTGGTAACCCTAGGACTTCCGGACCACGGACTGTCATACATGCTGAAGATACGTATATGAGCCTGATTAGGCGTGATTTAGTGCATTTTTGCATCTGCAACTCTCCTTCACCTTTATTTATAGAATTTTCAGCTAGAGCAATGAAAATGCACATTTAAGTCATTTTGAGGACGCCTTGGCATCACGTCAGGAAAAGACAGGAGATTTTTTTGTTCAGAATATTGCTGCATTACTGATGATGAACAGAAAGAAACCCTTGAAAACCCAAATTATTGCCAAATGTTTTGTTAAAAATGCCGTTTTTTTTATTTCTGTTAAGCGGGCACAAACATAACTTCCGGTAATGGTATGAAAATCATTCAACCGTTAAATTACCGATTTCGCAAAGTTGCAGATGTCCTTACTTTTTAAGAACAAAGTTACATCCTATAAATAATAATTCCCCCTAAAGAAGGATGTTTTTTTTCCTTTCTTTTGCGTTTCAGCATATTTCATTTTATTTAAATCTAGATTCTAAATTCATATTTTCCTTTTTACGTGTAGAATATCTTTCCTTGTGTTTTAATTACATAATTATTTTTTTTAATTGAGACGTCACACAAAATTAATAAATTATTTCATGAAATAGCGGAAAATATTTCGTTATTCCTACAGTATAAATTCAAATTATGGAAAACTTAACCTGTTGATTTTTTTTCTCTTGACATTTTACCAAGTTCATAGCAGGATAATAATATTATCGATCTTTTTTTCCTAAGACAGATGATATAGGCAAGTTCGTTTATGCTGGATATGGCAAGAGTTCTTGCGCATTACATGGCGGGAGCCTCGTAAGAGGGTACATCCCCGTTTGAGAGTTCGACCAGACTGATATTATATGAAGAAAACTTAAAACTTTTGCACTACATGCAATACAGAATTGACTCAATCAAATATGACTTTGACAATATGCGTTAGATTTTTGACTGCATGTTATCTGCATCCGACTATGTAGCACATTGATTTGTCAGCATAGTAAAGCTTCTGTACTACATATTATATAAAGTGGACTTGATGATATAAAAGGAAGACTTAATGTTATATGCATCCGACTATGTAGTATTTTAATTTGACAGCATATCAAAGCTTCTGTATTACATAATATATGTATATGAAGTGGAATTAATGATATAAATTGTGTACTACATATTGTATAAAGTGGACTAAATGACATAAATTGTGTACTACGTATTGTATAAAGTGGACTTAATGATATAAATTGTGTACTACATATTGTATAAAGTAGACTTAATGATATAAATTGTGTACTACATATTGTATAAAGTGGACTAAATGACATAAATTGTGTACTACATATCATATAAAGTGGACTTAATGATATAAAGGATAGACTTAGTATGTAAAATTGACACTATGATGCATAAATTTCATAATATAAAGTTAAACACATTATACAAGTAAAATTTATGCAAAGAATCAAATCGGCCGCAACAAAATTTAGCATTTCAAAAAGTACTCTGACAATTAAGGAAAGCAAAAGATATTCAAAGCTGAAAGAGTGATCATTTTGTTTTTCAGACTGTCTTCAAAGCAATAAATAAATAAATATTGAATGATAAATGAATAGAAATTTTAGTGCAATTATTCATCAAATTTATTCATCGGTGTAATAAAGTCAGAATTCATTGTAATCAAAATCAAGATGTAGATGAATCATGTGCTGATATCCTGGATTTTTGTCACGTGATGATGCCGATGATTTCTGCAGGGTAGGCTGTGCTGCGCAGCGCGGCGCAAAATGTAGAAAAAATTGTCCTTGTATCATTAATAGCATAATTATTCAAAACAATTTTTCCTAGTTGAACAACCTATCAGTTTTTATTCATCATGCACTTTTACAAGTTACTCATTATTCTGTTATTACTGTTAATATCTTAGTGAGGAGTAAAGAAAGAGGCTTGGTTGAACATTTACTGGAACCCGCTATGTATCTTTGTTTGTAAGGATTTTTATGAAGTTTCGGAATCTAATATAGATATGGTAATTCAAATTCATTTTGGTTGTTTGGAATATTAAAAATATTCAAAACTGACATATGATTTTGAAGAATTTAGGAAGAGAACTATGAGTATAAGTTGGATTACCACTTGTAGAATAGAATTGTTTTTACTGAACTAATGAAGAAATAACGTCTCATTTCCCCATGTGCACTTTCTAACACAAATATACAAATAGATCGGCCGCTGCTGCGGCCGATAATAAAGTTGACTTAATGATATAAATTAATGTGTACTAAATATAATATAAAGTGGACTTAATGATATAAATTCTGTACTATAAGGTGGACTTCATGATATTAAGGATCGACTTAATGTTAATATGTAAAATTGACATTATGATGCATATTTTGTACCCTTAAGACAGCTGTGGCGTTCCATAGTGTCGATTCCTGCAGTGGTATTGTTATTTATAACTGTAGCAAATTATGGACATTTTTTCATCTTTTAAAGGTTTGCATGCTTATTTATTTTATCTTCAGATAGAACAGAATCTACGACCAATATGAGGTATGTCTCTTTACACCACAGTTTACAAAACCTTCACGTGCACTGGCCAATAAAGAATTCACTGATCCATGTAAAAACAAGACATTAAATTCAGAGATCGTCTATTTTGTTATCATTTGATTATGAGACGTTAAAATTGAGCTTAGATTAAACAAAGGTACTATATAAATGCAATATATTATACACTTACATATATGCGTGCCGTGAACCAGAAAAACAAAAACAATGGCAGCTCGAACACAGGAAAACTGCTCCATTAGAACGACCTTAATTGCAAGCAAAAATGTGCTGCTTCGGAATATGAAAACGAGGTCATGACTCATGACATCCCGTTAACGCGTTACATGGCCGTAGGAACGGGGAGGGGAGGGGGGGGGGGCAACGGTCCAATAATTCTACCGATATTTTTAGAATACTATAGAAAATATAGCTCAGTCATTCTACAATAAAAGGACCAATTCAGGGTATAAAACATGAAAAAAAAAATGTTTCAAATAGCAAAATCAACATCATAATTCTCTAAAAGACATATCAGTGAACTTATAAGAAGGAGTTGTCCACAAATCTGCTATCATTAACTTTTTACAACAATTACAATATACCATTGATTTTAAGGTAATGTTACGGTAGTTAATGTTTGAACAAGTCTTATTATCTTTTAAATAAGCTGAATTTGACCAATTTTTGTTTTCTGATGTTCAGTATAGAACGCTGAACTGCGATTTTTGAAGTCTCGCATGAATCCGATAATAAGTTAAATTTTGGGAAAAATATCGTTACGGAAGTTATCTTTTAACCGTTACGGCAATAAAAGTTAAAATTCTCGGCAATATTTAAAACCAACGTTTGTTTTAAGATGTTTATCAAAAGTATGAAGCATTAGAGTTTCTTCTAGAAAAGGCATAAATAATTATCTCCGTCTCGTCTTTCATAACCAGATATTTCCATGAAAACTAATCGCATTATACACTGTGTTAGATGGATATAAAATAATGAAAAACCATTTATACTGAAAAAAAGAAATTTCAGATTGACTGTCTGTTTATTCATTTAACAACTTATCAAATTGAATGAACTTGTGAAAATATTTTACAGTTAGAAAAATGAGACAATTCTATTCCCGTTAATTAATAGGATTTCACCATTAAAGGTTAAATCCATTTATCAAAGGGAACACTATCAATTTTTATAAATACGGTGTTTTGGGATTGTTTATGTTGGTCCTGCGTCAATTAGTCTTCACCTCAACACATTTTGCTTACGTCATAAGAGCACAGATTCATCATCAGTCGAAGCAGACGTTTTCAAAGGTAAGGACGGAATTTTACAGTCGTGTGAATTTTGGATTGTTTTTAGCTAATACCTTTACTTTTGTCAAGAAATTGTTGTAATAAAATTTTAAATGCTATTTTATGGCATATTCATCCAAATTTAATCATCAATGCTAAAAATTTTCGTAGATATTTGTTGATCAATTTTAACAGGCACTCATGTACACGTGCATTCAAAGTTCAATAGTCATATTACATTAAAGTTTGATGACAACCCATGGTTTACAGATTTTCTCTTTGGTTATATTTCGAGATTCGAAATGCCTAAGCGAAAGACGGCGTGTCAGACCCAAGCTCAGCCACGGAAACGAGCAGGGAGACGAGAGCCTCGTCTGGAGACAACTTCCGAAGTTCCTCCGCCGGCGAGCATCACGGACGTAACAGTCCAGCCTATCAATTGCTCTTCTGATGTACAGGCTACTGCACCCACGATAATGCCTACCAGCGTTATGCCACCCTACCAACTTCAGGATCTGGCTCAACGCATTTCCACAATTTTGTCTGAGCGAGAAGACCCAGCCCAACCTCAGGGGACAGAAGGTGTTCCTTCATCTAATGCGAACATAAGAGTTTCTAGTTATGATAATGATTTGGGGCATAATGTATCCAACTATATTAAACTCAAAATGGCGAATATGTTAATTTAGCTGCGTTTATCAGATTGTTTGACTAATTATCCTGACACAGAAAATGCACATGAACTATTGCAAGGGTTTCAATTTGGTTTTAAATTAAATTACCAAGGTCCTAGACAGCCATACAACTGTAGAAATCTTAAGTCTTTGAATTCACTTACTACAGAAGCCATACAATTAGTCAATAAAGAAATAAGCTTAGGTCGGGTTGCTGGCCCATTTTCTGCCCTCCATTTCTCAACCTAAGACTGTTCCCCATAGGTATGGTACCTAATAAAGATGGTACATTTCGTCTTATTCATCATTTGTCCCACCCAGTTGGTGATAGTGTGAATGACTTCATTGATCCTCAGTATTGTTCAGTTAAATACACATCATTTGATGAAGCTTTGAGAATGTTGGAAAAGTTAGGTCCAGGAACTTTTATGGCTCGTTTAGACATTAAGAATGCTTTCCGTTTGCTACCAGTTCATCCCTCTGATTTTGAGTTGCTAGGGTACAAAATCAACAGCAGTATTTATATCGACAAGTGTATGCCATTTGGCTGTTCTGTGAGTTGTGCTAAATTTGAAAAGTTTGCTTCCTTTCTGGAATGGTGTTTATAACAAAAGAGTCAATCTGATAATGTAGTCCACTATTTGGATGATTTTTTACTATCAGGTGCATCTGGGACAAAGCAGTGTCATTATTTAGTCTCAACACTTACTAATCTATGCAATGATTTGGGGGTCCCATTAGTCCACGAAAAAACCTTAGGTCCTACGACAAATTTGGTATTTTTAGGCTTGGAAATTGATACAGTCACAGAGACTGTTAGTATCCCCTCAGAGAAGCTGGGTCAGCTTTATGATCAGCTCAGTTATTTCCTATCTCGTAAAAAAGTTACACTTAGGGAAATCCAGTCCCTCACTGGCCTTCTAAATTTCTGTATTAGGGCAATTCCAGCGGGTCGAGCATTCATCAGGCGTTTGTATGATGCCACTGTTGGGCTTAGCAAGCCTTATCACAAGAGACGCGTTACTCAGGAAATGAAGCAAGATATACAAATTTGGCTAATGTTCCTAGAATCTTTCAATGGCACAACATCATATAGACAAGTAGACTGGGCCAGTGACTTTCAATTTGAGTTGTATACAGATAGCGCTGGTTCGGATAAACTAGGGTGTGGGGCTATTTTTGGAACTCATTGGGTTTTTTTAACATCTTGAAATCTTGGCAAGGGACTAGCATATTAAGGGACATTACCTTTTTGGAACTGGTACCCATAACAATGTCATTGTCTATTTGGGGAGATCAGTTGGGGAAAAAGCGAGTTATTTTACATACTGATAATATTGCACTTGTCACTATTTTAAATACTAAAACATCCAAATCACCCAGAGTTATGCATCTCTTAAGGGTTTTGGTCTTGAAGGGCATCATGCACAATATTCAATTTAAAGGGCAGCATATTAGGGGAGGGAAAAATGTTAAGGCTGATTCTCTTTCTCGTCTTCAGTGGCACAGATTCAGACAGGTCTTTCCAGAAGCCGACAGACTACCTACGACAGTCCCAGAATCATCTCTCAGACTCATCTACAACATCGAGCCCAAGAATTGTTAAACTTTTCCCTGTCCGTAACACGAAACACGAAAAAGCTATATAAGACAGCATTGCAGCAGTTCAGTTATTTCTGCCAAGTGTACAAGTGTAATCAATGTTGGCCACCAAATTCTAAAGACCTAATTCATTTTGTAGCCTATCTTTCATTTAAGCAGTTCTCACCAAGCACAGTTAAAACATATATGGCTGCAATATCTTATTTTTGCAAAATCCAAGGTTTACTAGATACAACAAAATCGTTTATGTTGCAGAAGGTTCTACTTGGGTGGGGTCGCGTTAGCGCTAGGAAGGACATTCGCAAACCTATTACTATCAACATCAAAGCATTTTGTCTATCCTCCCCCAAGTATGTAGATCTGACTATGAGTCGGTGTTATTTAGTGCACTTTTGCTCGGCATTTTTCGGTTACTTTAGAATTGGGGAGCTGGTTCAGGATTCTAAAGACCAACCCGGTCATGCTATCCAAGCAGGTGATGTCAGATTAACAACCAACAATACTATTGTAATGTCCTTAAGCCACTCCAAAACTGATCAAGAAGGGTATGGGGCCACAATCACATTAATTCCTTCTAGTCCAATCTGCATAATTCAGTTTCTACGCAAATATTTACTTTTAAGACAACATGCTTATGGGGCTTTTTTCATTCATCTGTCGGGCTGTCCAGTGACCAGGTATCAGGCAGAGTCTGTATTTAAAAAGACTATAGAAATGTTAGGCTTAGATACTAAAACTTACAAGACCCATTCCTTTCGTATTGGTGCTGCTTCCCATGCTTGGGCTAGTGGTACGAGTCAGCAAGATATAGCGGTCAAGGGTCGTTGGAAATCTCAATGTATGTACCGTTATTTTAGAAAATAAGCTTTAAATGTCATATGGTGCAAAATGTGCAGTTCAGCAAGTTAAGGTAGCTTTACCTTTACTGACTAAGAATACAGTTTTTTCTTTTATGTATGCTCAGGTGTAGAAATGAAATATTGTATACAGATATTTTTGTATTGTTCCTTTTTTCTTGTTTTTCAACTCAATTTTGTATTGTAGATATTAGAATTTGGATTGTGGGTTCTTCCATTGTTAAAAGGGCCTTTTGCCAGGCAAGGCAATCAGATTTTAGAGCCAACCTTGAACTAGAAAGGCATCATGCATCCATATTTTGGCAGGGTAAAGGGGTATGAGATGGACTTAAGTTATGCCAAATGTTAAATTCTTATTAAAATTAGAAGACCCTCCTCAGATTTTAGTATTGCAATGTGGAGGCAACAATATTCCTGATGCTAGGGGTGAAAAGTCAATCAAATTAAGATTAAATATTAACACAATCCTGGTCGGCTTGGCTAAGCTGTTGCCAGGTACCATTTTAGTGTGGTCTCAAATCCTCCCCCGCCAGCATGTTAGAAAAAGCCTGAATAGTTTCATTGCTACGACATTAATTAGGTCCGGGGGGAAGTATAATCGTTATCCCGAATTCCAATTAACAAGTCCAGAATTGTTTGCTCCCGATGGAGTGCACTTGTCCGAGCTCGGCAATCGTATGTTTTTGTATCGCCTTCAACAAGGCTTGCAGACATTTTTAACAAATCCCTCTGAAAAATTGTCACCAAAACTAGGGGAGTTTGGGCCTTGGCAGCGCGATAACTAGTTAGTGGGTCATAGTTTGCCACAAATTGGTGGCTGCATTGAATTTTTGAGTGCTACTCATTTGCATTTACATACCCATTTTTGTTG